GGGGAATTCTGGGAGTTGAAGTCCGCACATCTTAAAGTTGCCAAGGTTGAGAAACACTGCACTAGATACTCTGGTTTCTCTTCAAATCAAATAAATATTGTGCACTAGATTATCTAAAGGGGAGCTGCATAAGTACTTCCTACCTGGAGGAAGTCAGAAATGGTCATGATACTAAAATCTAGGAGCTGATTTTGTAAAATACATAAGCCTCTTCTTTGGGTCAGTTTAGACTTCACTTCTGCATGACATTAGACCCTTCTCAGTGCTCCCAGCAATTATATGCAGTATTTTTTCTGCAGGTTTGTCTAAGGATCACAACATGCTTTCGTGACTTCACTTTGCCTTCCTGGATTAAATCAAATTCCTTGGAAACAGGCTCAGAGTATTTTTTAAAATGGTAAATAGCAAATACGGGTTTTCTGTAAGTTTCATATCTGACTTGAAGAGATAAATGTCTTGCTTAGTTAAATATATTGGAGTTTTACTGTCTTTCTCATTAAATCCCCATGCAGTCCTGCCATTTCTGCTTAGGATAAAGGATTTAACATACTTTTCCAGAGTGGAGCTGCAAAACAGGACAGTCCTACTCAGCTAACCAGTTCCTGAGTGCTCTTGATTCATTTCTTAATTTTGTCACCCAGGTTTAAAATAAATGTCTCCCAGTGCAACTCTTCCTATATTTTTTAAAAATGAATTTGCAAAAGACTTGCTACAAAAGAATTGGGGGGGGGGGTGTACCTCTAAATTGAATATGCATTCTAAAACTCAATTAGAAGCACAACTTCTTTGTGATTACGATTCCTGATCCACCAAGAAGTCTTGCTTACACAGAGGCCTTTTCTGCAAACTCTCTTTTGCAGATTGGACCTTCAGTAAACGTAAGCATCCATTACTCTTGGGCCAAGTGCCCAATTAAAGCCAATAAAGCTTGCCTAAGCATTTAATAATAATAATTGATTAAATGCATATTCCTCCCCCCCTCAACTCTCCATGACTCTGGGCCTTTTTTCTGGGTATTTCTAGCCTATAATAGGATCCTAAGTCTATGTCTGCATGAAGGTAGGCAGAAATTCTTAGAAGACAGATCCTGCTTCTTTGAGAATAATATATACATTTGGGAGGCAGACAACAATAGTGTAAGGACCAGGTAAGGAAGCTGAGCTGCTGGTGGGAATCAGAAATCTGCAGTCCTCATTATGGACCTGTGGACGTGTACAATCCACATAACGAGAGATTTGGCTGATCCCCCGCACAATATACTGGCAGTGTCCCTAAAGAGGACATACTGCTCCAGGTTGGTTATTGGCATACCCCAAAACTCCTGTTAAAAAATCATCCAAAATCTATCTAATTGAAACATGAATAAGCAACTTCTTTTTGTTCCTTATTAAGCATTTTAAACGCATCAAAGACTTAAAAAAAACATTTTATAAACTTTTAAAGTTAGATGGGTAACAGGTGGTCTTTCTGCGCCAATGGTTTTGTGCAAGTCTAACTGGAGATCAGAATCCATTGATTTCTGACCTTGTTCTGGTTTGCTGAAAACCCCAACAAAGCTGCTGTTTTTCTTGGGGTGGTTGCAGCTCTGCAGCCCTTGCGAACAGGTTCATCTTTCCCTTGGTGGGAATTCTTTCTTCACCCACTTCCTGATCCCTAGCCTCAAACCTTCACAGGGGTGTCCCACCTCACTTACTCCACAGTAGTTCTGTGGCCTATTCCTAAACCTTGTCTCTTTCTGCATAAATGGCTTCAAATTCATCTTACTGCCTCCCCCAATTCACTCATCATAACAACATTTAAACAAAATCATTGCTACTGGTTTCAAGATTGCTTTCATTTCACCTTCACAGCTCACAGGGGGGTTTAAATGCAATAATGGGATGGTAGCAAAAGGACTGGGAAACCTTTAGGAGGCTGATAAGTGCTTTCGTTGGTATTGTTCACAAACATAGCTTCCCAAACATAGCAACTGCTCTGATTTCCCCCCCCCCCAAACTATAAAACACAGAGAAATATAAGTACTGAAAACATGGATGAGGGGAAGAGAATTTTATTTTATTTCTGTGCCAGTAGGGGAAGGTATTTCTGTTATTACACTATGGCTGATAGCTTGGAGACAGGCCACGGATTGAATTACAATCTTTACTCTCTCCTCTTGGTCGGATGAAGAGAAAGAGGATGAGCATTAATTGACTCATCACGTTCTCTGCATGTTCTCTATGCTTTGAGGTTAGAAGACCTGAAGGTGACCTCAAGCTGGTTTCCAACTGCTTTGCAAGGGATCGGGAATGTGTGTCTACGCACCCACACCCACACACATACACCCATGTGTGCAGCTGTATATCTAGGCTTACCTCTGCTTGTGCTTTGATTTCCTGAAGTAAAGAAGAAACATCACTTTTTGTTGTCACTGAAGACAAAACAGACTGCAATTTCTGCTGATCCAGGGTGGACACCAAGAGTTCATCCAAGCTAAAACACAACATGTGCAAAATGGTGTTGGATGAGACTGAAGAAAGATAATGCATGGTTTAATATTAGCAGATATCATCTTCAATGGCTATCCCTAATGTGAAAAAGACCAGGAGGTCTAAGTAATTTGTAACACCCAACAAAATCTAGTTTGATAGAGAAAGAGCCACTGGAATCCTATTTCAGATAAGGCATTTGCACCAAGCAGTACAGGCATATTAAGCCTTTATTCCCTTCATCTACTCTTTTCTTAAAAAGCAAGGAGTCTCCTGAAATATTCCTGACCAAACAGGTATGGAAATGATTCTCCTTTTTACCTCTGCTAATTTCAAGGTTGCAATTAAGAATAAAAGACAATCCTTTGGGGAATTGGGTAGAAAACTGAAACCAGAATCTCTTTTCTTTCCCTTCCATTTCCATTCCACTCTCTTTTTCCTGTTGAGATATGCATCTAAAGGAATGATGGCGAAAATATGTTTTTGAACTTTAAAGAATTTGAATTAATAGACAATTAAAATAAGAAGTCACAAACCGGAGCTGTTCAAGCAAGGGTCATTGTGGAGTCTGTTACAGTTAGATTTACAGGAAATGGGACTGAGAAATCGAGGAAGGGAAAGGACAAAAGAGGCAGAAGAACAAAGAGAAAAGTACAGAAATTGTAAGGGCACTTTTTGAAAGGAAAAAATAATGGATGTCCATCAGGAGGGACTATGCCAACTGATTCTACAAGAGTGAAAAAAAAGTATAATTGGGTACTGGGTGCAGAATATGGCTTCAGGAACCTCTGCTTTTAGTTTCTTTAAGTATCTAAGTTTGTAATTCTTAGAGCTTTGAAATGTCTGGGCAGCTCCTGGTAAAATAACAGAAGCTGAGAATTTGTTGACTCAGATCACTGGGAGCTGGGGTGAGCATTCAATACTTTGATCAAGCCGTTGGCTTTCACAGAGTTTTGAAATTAAGAACATAACTACACAAATGAAAAGAAAGCATACAACTTTGCCTATTTGCCAACTGTTGCAATATTCAGTTTTTCTTGGTGCAAAACTCAGATAGGTTGGGTGCAGAATTTGTGTATTTTAATGCAAAGTACACAACCCAGGGTATAATTTTTCTGATTCTTTCCTCCACCCTACTCCCATGAAATGTTTGCTTTCAGGTTTTAAAGCTTTGCCTACTTCTGGGATAGAGCTACTATTAAGAAAATATTAAAACTAACCTGATTGACCAGCTTTTTCCCGAGTTCATCTTATTCAGACTGCCATCATGCTGTAGCCCTTCCTCATCAGAAGTTGATCCAGGAGTTCCAGAGCCACTGTTCCAAGGACTGCTTTCTTTTGAATGTTGCCTGCTTGTCATCCCAAGAGTGGACAGTCCTGAGCATTCATTCAGCCTGGAAACATTTTCAATAGGAGCATCAAGGCATCTCATAACAGGTGGACAATCCAGCTCAGTTTTGATATGGGAAGGTTGAGACTCCATAGAAAAGTCCTCACTGCAGAGTTTATCAAGATCTGGCATGCTCAGAGCTCTCAGCTCCCGGAGTTTGGAACGTGATAAGGGCATGTGTCTAACATGTGCACCCGAGGCTCTGCTTCTTCGGACATTGGTGGAAGATGGTGGTAAACTAACTGGTTCTTCCAAAGCATGCCTTTCACTCTTCTCCAAGTGAGCATCATCTTTGCTGCTCTTGGGGAAATTCTGTTGCACATTTGTTAATGTCGAGCTGGTTAAAGATCTGGTCACTCTTGGGGACGTTGGGACTTCACTTCCGCAGTATGAACTCAAGCTCCGTCTCAAGGCCTGGACCGCATCATTTACGCTGGTAGCTGAAACTGCAGAAATGCCACTGGACAATCTTCGGCCAATGGGCAGTTTAGAGCTCAGAGAGGTGGAATGGAGGTCTATGGCTTTGACCATAGGCCTGTCAAAATTAGCCAGGTTCTCAAACGATTTGATTCTCTGCTTTACAGAAAAAGAAGAAATGGGATCATGTGGCCAATTGAGTTCATAGTAGTAAAAATTCCTTCTGCATGTTTTCAGTTTTTCTGCAATGCGACTGCCATTGTCATTGGACAAAGGCAATGCTTGGCTGTTTGATCTCAGGATACCAGGAGATGTTGCTTTTGTATCCTGATTGCTCTGGCTATTCAGCAGACTGAGATGGACAATTTTCAACATGCTCAACTCTGAATGAGAAGGGTTTGCACTTGAAACATTGCCTAGGATACCCTGGACATGATGATCTGGTTGATCCCTAACACTGCTCTCTTCCCTTAAATGACTGGATAATTGTGCTGGCATTGAATAGGTCCTTGTCACAGGCTTTAATGCACTCAGGACATCTTCCTTCTCGAAAGCACTCTGCCGATAATCCAGTGCCTTGCTTTTTAGATGACTGATCTTATTGTCACCTTCCTTCCTCTCCAGGGGCATGTCTGGAATTAATGAGGAAGAGGAGGAGGAAGATAGCCTTACTTCAATGAAAGTGCGCTGAATTTCCTGACCAGGCTGTTCTTGCCGAGCAGGGGGATAAATAAGGCAAGAGGACTCTTTTTTAAAAAGCCCTGCATTGTCAGATTTTAATGGCTTCATTTCCAATCCATCATGATTTAAACTCATACTTATCCCACTGTTTTCGGTTCTATCATTCAGACGGCAAGTCTTGGGTGTGACTTCAGAAGATATATTTGACTGAGAAGGGATGTCTCTTGTTTGATAATTATCCATGCCAGCTTTCCCTCTTTTTTCACTGTTCATAACCTCCCATTTAGTGACCTGTGGTTCTTTTTCTACTTTAGGAGACCCTGCTATTCCAACCCTGCCAAATTTTGATTTGATGATGGATTTATCTTTATTTTTCACAACGCTGCTGTCACCATTCAACACAGGCAAAGTGGGTGTCTGAGGCTCCAGTAAAGAGGATTGATCTCCCCCTTGCTGTTGAAATATCTTAGAACCCACAGAGAGGCTCCTGCTGGGTGGTTCCAGATGTGTGGCTAAGTTATGGAGTGAGGAACCTTTCTTTGAAAGGAGTCTGGGTGAACATTGGGCAGGGAGGGGGATCTTTTTTTGATCAGCACCCTCAGTTTTCGCAGCACCAAGAGCATCAGAATGAGCTTTGGACTTACTTTTAATACCAAGACCCTTTAATTTAAGCCCTGCTTTGTTTTGTTGATTATTTGAAAGAGTTTCTACAATACTCTTTTGTGGAGTGCCTTTAGTTTCATGATGTAATTTGGGGGAAGAAGAGGGACTGTATGGAATAGTAAGGCCCTGGCATTGACCAGAATTCAGAGTTTTTGTATTTGACGGTTTTGAGATAAGAACAGTGTTTGCTTTTTCATTTTTTCCTGGTAAATTGTGAGCCAAAGAGACCTTGCCCAAATGTTTTGGTTTGGTCAAAAGGGGAGATTTGGGACTGTTTATTATTTTTTGCATTGCACTCCTCATAGCACAGCTGTCTGCTTTACTTAACTGGGATGAATCACTGACTCCTTTCCCTATCAAAGCAGAATGACTATCAATCACATGACTTCCATAATCTATTACTAAATCATTTTCCACCTGCAATTGTTGGGTTTTTTTCTGTTCATCTTGGCCTAGCCTGTGGCCATCCCAGCTATTGATATTTTTTGCCAGACAGGAATGTATTTCTGGGGCATGATGTCTAGACATTTTACATGTTTCCATTAGATCTTCTTGGTTCTCCAGGCATTTCCCTTCTCCACTCTTTGAAGAACCATTCTCAATGGAAGGGCAGACTGGCTTGTCTTGATCCAAACTGTCTACCCCTTGCAAAGAAACATCTGGAGAAGATTGAAAAGTTGTTGATGGAACCACATGTTCTGCACTGGAGTTTTTCGATAAGTGTGAGTCTTCTAATGAAAATTTTCCATTGGGTATTTCCAGTGAATCTATTTCTGTTTTGCTTTCTGCCTGCAAAGAGTTGTTCAAAGAATGGTAAGTTGGTGGATGATGAGATGATTTTATGGGAGATGTGACCAGCTGTTTTTGAAGACAATGTTGATCATAATTCAGACTGCAAATTTCTATTTGCTCCTCCTCTGACTCAATTGCCTTATGGGTTGCCAAGGAATTGTCACAACCAGATACTAAGAGTGATGAACTGTCTGAAAATTCAGGAGTCTCAGCTATGGATTCCGTGTCTGAACTGGAGTCCTCTGCAGCAGCATACATAGATTTTGGAATAGTGTTACTTTTAGTTTCAATTTCAGGCAAATGGTCATCACTAAAGCTGCTAAAATTCCTGGAATAGGTACTCAGGCGGCTTTGGTTTACAGTTAAAATTTTGCTTGCATTAATGGAATCCAGGACAGAAAAACCCAAAGTTTCTTGTGTGTTAGTTACAGAATTCGCAGCTCTTTCTGCAAGGTCATTTTTAATTATACTTGATATAGAATTATGCTGAGCTTCTTCTGCCAGCGCAAAGGTATTTTCCTTGGTATGTTTGTCCTTGATTAATAAACAGTTATCATTTTTTTCTTCTGGGGAATTCCTCTTGCCAGGGAAGTCATTAATCTCTTCTAACAGCACCACAGCCCTGTCCTGAATAGGGAGAATTTCTGAGGGATCTGCTGGTATCTCCTTAGTATCAGCATCAGATGGCAATCCTGTCTTTTCTGCCTTATAATCCAGAGGTTCCCGATGTAAAGATTCTTTCTCATATGCAAAGCCGTTTTCTTCTTCAGTCATAACAACACTGCCTGGATCTTTCTGAACAGCCTCATCTGCTTCTGAAGACACAGAGAGATTTGAAGGCTGTTAAAGGCTGAGTAAAGAAGGAATCAATGAAATAATTCCAACCTCTTAACTACACAATAAATAAAACTTTACGCAACTGTCCAGCTTTTAATTTTAGAGGTCCAGCCTAGAGTCAGTGATGGCTAAGGAGTTGTATGGATAAACTTTCATACTTACTAAATGCTGGCTAGGACCTTTAAAACTTTCATGTTTTGGTCTGAATATATTCAACCAGTAAGAGCAGCAAGAGAGTCTTCATTATGAATTCTTCTTCCCCTGAAGCATCTTAATATCTATACACAAACTCTCTCAGAAACTATTCCCTACTTCTTTTTCACTTGAGACTCATAGGCCCTAATTTTCTCAGTTGGGCATAAAATGAAGAACTGCGCTTTTATGGTCATGGTTTTTAACATTTGGAAGATTTTAAAGTTTCAGTTCATCTTTTCTTTGAATATATTGACTCTTTCTCTTGGTTTTCAATTATTTCTAAGGAAAGAAGCAAGATAAACGTATGTCAAATACAACAAATCCCTCCCAGATTTCAATGATATTAATTCTGCTAGCAGTGAGCGTACATTTTGGCTGCATCTAGATTTTACTGTCTACAAAAGGAAGTGCTTCTTCCATCCACTAAATACCTTTTGTTCATGCCACTGAAATCCAATCTGGCCGTGGAATCTAGTAGCTCGGGCAGGGAAGATGATGTGCAGCAGGGAGGGTGGTATAACAGCAACAAACCTAACTGTTCCCGACAGCCCAGATTCAACCAGAAGGCCTCACATTCAGTTATCTCAGTGTTTCTCAAACTTGGTCACTTTAAGATGGGTGGACTTCAACTCCCAGAATTCCCCAACCAGCATCACTGGCTGAGGAATTCTGGGAGTTGAAGTCCACTCATCTTAACATGGCCAAGTTTGAGAAACACTGAGTTATCTGAAAAGCAGAGCCTCTGAAAGCCCTTGGTGACTCACAGATGAACCTTTCCACTGTAGACTTGAAATGGAGACAAAGGAGGCGGCACTAGAGGTTGCTCTCAGGGCCTGATGAGAAAAATTGCCTCTCCTCCATTCCTGCTGATGGAACATCCTGAGCAAACTTTCACTCAGGGAGGGCTCCCACTGGCAGGATCAAACTTAATTATATTTTAAAAAGTTGAAAGGAATTCTCCAAAGGCCCTATCTGGTAATCTGTACAATTTCCTTGTAAGCAGCTGATATTATCACATTACAGATTGGAGCGCAGGACGAAAAATGAGCACCTGGCCAAAAAGTTAAGACTGTGGCTATCTAATCTGCAAGTGAATCCTTTTCATTTATTTCGTTAATTAACTTCATCTTTCTTCCTTTTCAGATTTTATGTTTTTCAGGAAGTGTCTTCATGCACGCGATTCATCTCTTTGGCATTATAAAGTTTCTCTTCTTCTTAACTAAACATCTACCACAGTCTGTAAACCATTCATATCCATAGAGGTAAGACTGTAGGTTTGATCCTTCAAGGGTGTCAGCCAGTTTGACTTACAATGTACTTTCAGAATAAAACAAATTATTACTAAAGGCAGGTCAAAATGGCAAAGCTAGCTAGTCCCCTGAAGTTGAACCTGATGTGATTCGGCCTAACTAATTAACCACCATTTGTTTTTTACGCCCGGGTACCATCTTGATGAGTATGTTAGCAAACTTTGATCCAATATGAGAACTGAGAGACACTTCAGAAATGTAAGTGAGCCAGCTGCATGCAGAGTTTCAGACTCGTCACTGAAAGATTCCATTCACTTAGGCAGCCTACATAGCCTACTTCATTCTTACTTCTTAAAAAACTCCTATTTTATCACGGTAATAACTCACCAGTGAAAGCCAAAAATAAAAAGCATTCAGCTACTGAGTCTGCCTCCTCTTTCATTCATACAAATCTGTATGTTCTGTATGGTCACAAAACATGAATTCTCAAAAATCAGAAAGACCTAGGTCAGCTTTTTCCTAAGCCCCAGCCAGCACCTTGGCTAAGTATCTAACCCAATTTACTATCTAAGCTTACTTTTGAACAGTGCAAACCACTGTTCCTGTTTGCAGAAAAGCAATTTTCACGTTTGTTTTGAAATAATTTGATTTAGCATGGTTTTAAATTACATATTGATATTAAACAGATGTTATATTTATGTTAATGCTACTATTTAAAAAGGGATTGTTAATTCTATCTTGATGGATTACAAATGATCACTTTTGGAGTCAAATTTCAAATTTCCAGGTGTAATTTGAAAACAACAACTACCTTTTGTGCTGCTTTTAAATTTTGTTTTACTTTTAAATTTTGGTTTACATTTTCATTGTGCATTTCATATTTTATATTTTATTTACCACCTTTTATCATTTCATTTCCATTAGCCACTCCTGCTAACTGCTCCTGAAGGACAGCAGAGAACTACATCAATATATTAACAAACAAACAAATGATGAAGTCTTTTTAAGCCTAATTTCATGAAATGGTGACTATAACATGGATCCAGATGTTTCTATCACTCGCAGCACAATGAACGAAACAACTCTTAAACTTAAACCATATTTAAGATTATATATATGACATTAGAGATTTGCGCCCCCCCCCAAAAAAAAGAGGCAGGAGAAAGAAAAAAGAAAAAGAAACTTAATCAGAGGGGACTAAGGCAGAAATCATAATTATTTGCTTATGAACAAAAACTACAGATCCATGTAGTTTGCTTAGCAACAGTATTGAAGTGCTTTACCACTGCCTTTTTCTGGAATGTTTTCTTGACCTCCAAGTGTAGCCTACAGTCTTAAGGTTATCTGGTGATCTCTGACCCCAATACTTCCCATTAGTGATCATGGAAATACTCTTCCTAACGTAAACAGCAGCTGAAGTGGCAAAGGCAGCTTATAGAATGGGGACTACAGTGAGACAAAGCCCCCACCCCAGCTATTATTTACTAAGTTACTACACTCTTGCATGAAAAATAGCTTATCTATTTGTTTTTAGTAATATTTATCTTTTAATACTGATTTTTATATTTTTATAATTACTGTTTTATATAAGTGTTATTTTATCTGATTGTTATATACTGCACAGAATCATATTTCATGAGATGGGCAGCCATATAAATTTGATTACTAAATAAATAAATAAAATTGACTCTGGCTATATGCATCTACCAAATCACAGATGATGATGATGATGATGATGATGATGATGATGATGATGATGATGATGATGATGATGATGTGATCATCATCATCATCATCATCATCATCATCAAACAAACTTGTATGCCTCCTGACTCTGTCGATGCATCACCTGGACCCACTGGAATGCTTTGGGATTGTGGTGGTGGCCCAGTAAACTACATTGTTTATATTCTCCAACCATATCTCAAAGATAGTATAGCTAGCTTGCTGACCTAGTAGGTAGGGATAGATAATGAGAAGGCCATTCAACTGGATTTATGAAAAATATTCCAATGTCATGCTGTAATTTACACTGTGTCTGCCTTTTCCTTTGTCTTGTCTTTCAAATGTAGAAGTCCAAAGGTATATAAGCTGTGGTTCTGCTTTTGCTCAGGGATCCTCAGCAAGTTGCCAATCTGTTGCTGGGAGCCCGATGTACACTGTTTTATTGTTTGCATGCTAATAAATTTATGTTGTATCTTCAAAGTGATTTGGGTGTTTTAAGCAAGCCAGGTTTTGGGCACAACAGGATGAATGATAGTGAAATATGGAATGCTTTGGTTCTTGTCCAGTTTTGTGATTTCTCAAAAAACCTCTTGACTTAGTTCAGGGATACCTACGTTATAGCACCTGCCCACTGACCACAGAACAAAAAAGAAAGACAAAATCTTACGCAAAACAGCTTTCTGGACGTCCAGTGTAATAGATGTGGGAAGACATCTTACATATTGGCAAGCTTCCTCATAAGAGAATCCATGGATGGGGATACCATTGATAGAAAGGATCTCATCTCCTGGAACCAGCTTTCCCATGGATGCCTGTTAAGAGCGCATCTATTAATACAGTACCTATCATAGCTCTCAGACTGTTTAGGATGCAGAATAACATGAAGATGAAGCTCAGATTGCTTCACTGGGAAAGGGGAATGAATTCCAGATTCAGGGTCCTCCTGGAGAGAAGACAGAGCCTTTCTGTCAACCTCTGGACCAGAGGAACCACCAACTCCTTAACCTGGCAAAAGTCTAAGATGGCAAAATCAAGCGGAGGCAACCTCTGTATGTGGGATGAAATTCACTGCCCTGTATGAGAGTTCAATTGGCTTTAGTCTGCTGCTGTCTCTTAGGGAGAGATTTAGCCATCAGGATTCACTCAAAGCTCTTCATGAACCTGTTTCTGCCTCCCTACAAGCCAACTTTGTTTGCCACACCTGATTTGCCTATCTTATCTACTTGGACCACTAAGCTATCTTGATTGGATTTCAATCAGTTACAATGCCACTGGCTTCCATTATGTGCCTCAGGGACACAGTATATGGGACAGAATGACTGCAACATGTATAAAGTCCTAGAAATATTGCAACAGTGAAGTGTGCAAATGGTGAGACACCTCGATGGCTGGGATACCCTCTTAGGAGTTAGAGGATACGCAGACTACTCCCTGCAGCATTTTGTCAGGTCTTCTCAAGCGTTCACTAAGGATTCACATTTTACCCATGGAATAAAATTCATTCTTGTAATGCAAAACTATGAGTTGGCATTACATCCAAATACAATTGTTGGACTTTGTGCAGTGTAGTATTTAAGCACTGCATTGCTAAGCCATGGTATACAGGTAGTCCTTGCTTAATGACCGCAATAGGGACCAGAAAATTCATTGTTAAGCGGGGCGGTTGTTAAGTGAGTCGTGCCTGATTTTACAACCTTTTTTGCAGGGGTCATTAAGTGAATCACAGTTGTTAAGCAAATCACATGGTTCCCCGCTGATTTTGCTTGCCAGAAGCTGGCTGGGAAGGTCAGAAATGGTGATCATGTGACCCCAGGATGCTGCAACTGTTGTAAGTGTGAGCCATTTGCCAAGCACCTGGATCGCGATCACATGACTGCAGGGGTGCTGCGACAGTTGGATGTGTGAGGACCGGTTGCAAGTCCCTTTGTTCAGCACCATTGTAACTTTGAACGGTCACTAAACGAAGGGTTGTTAAGTGAGGACTACCAGTAGTATAATCCAAATGCAGTTAGTAACTGCCTTGCTGAATGAGATTACAGCCAAAGGGATGTCTCCAAGACACTCAGAAGCCAAGTACGAAGCAATGGGATCTTCCTATTTGTTCCCAATGCAGAAATTCCTTTCTCAAGCCATCACAGATACTTCAACACCATCTATGCTATCACTCATACCAATATCTTGACTTAACAAATTAACCTTGGCTTCCCAACATGTGGTCATTTTGAAATAACTTGAAAATCCCTGAATGGCAGTATAGTTGTTCTTTCTTGTCAAGAAACTGCTTATCTTTTAAAATGTAATATCTTCTGCTTCTAAATGAGTTATGTTTTTGTAAAGTGAGCAATATTTACTAATGAAATGAACAATATGGTTCCTTTCAGAACAGTGTAACCTCCTTGCACTGAGAGTTTTAAGTTAGTAGGGTGGGGAGGCAGGGCTCAATCAACACATTAACTGTCTATTTGGCAAGGGGCAGTGGGGAGATGAGGCAACACTCACAAGACTCACTTTCCCCTGAGGCTACTACGTCCATTTCTTGCATGATCTCAACTTCCCTCTGAATTGAAATTCTATTAGGGAAAATAAAGAGAAAGAAATGTTGTACCCTTTCAGCTGCTCCAGCTGGTTGCAAGCCTGTTATCACAATGTGTAAGGGGTTGGCATGAATTTCAAGATCCAGGCCAAATGACTCATTTTCATTCCGAGATAAAGTAATTGATTCCACATGACTTTGCTCCAGTGGACTCTCCTGAGCTTCGTTCTTCTGGATGGGTGGAAGGACCTTCCCGCCAGCTCTGCTGCAGGCACCATGCTCCTCATTCTTGACCCTTGGGACTCCGTGGTACTCAGTACTCATCAGGCTCTTCACTCGGGTGACTGCTTTATGTTCCAGTTTAGGAGACCTCTTAGATTCTAGCTGTTCCTCTCGAAAGTCCTTCAAATTCAAGTAGCCTGGATGAAGGTCTGGAGCATCTGAATAATCAAATGCTTTAGCTGGAAGAGAAGGGGTGTCTGGTGTATGCTCCCCAGTGCTCTCTGCCAGATTCCTACAGTTACTGGCAGCTGAGTCACTGTAGGTATTTGTTGCAGATTCTCTCTCTTGACTGGTATCTTCATTTTGCACTGAAGGAGCTGCAGCGGGAGCCTCACAGTCATTGTCACCCTTCCTTTGACCTTTTGACCTCGGTCCTCTTTGGAAGCAAGCTCCATCTTGTTTGGCATAGTCATCCTCATCACTTGCATCTCCATCATAAAAAGCAATCCTTCTCTGCCTTTGGAAAGCAATCTGGGCCCCTTTGGGGCTGTCGCTGAAACTAACGTGCCGAACAGCCATCTCTCTTGGCTTGCTGAGAAGACCGGGTGAGCTACTGCCAGTACCTGGTGAACTGCACAGACTAGATTCTTTGGTAGCTAAGAATAAACACAAGGAATACAATTGGGCAATATTGTCTTAGAATGTAATGACCTGACCCATCACCATTTTCCAGATTCCTCCCTATTCTTACAATTCTCTCCCTAGGCAGCAGTGAAAATGATCTTGTAAAAAAAACAAACAAACAAACACCCAAGGTGAGAAAGGCATCTTTTCAGTGGTAGCCACTGTACTCAGGGCCTCAAAAGAAATGAGCCCATTCAATTGTGGGGTTCCACTTATGGAATGTTCTTCCCAGGCAGACACTCTTAGGGACCAGGCTAAAACACATGTTATAATTTGTGCAACAATTTATAATTATAATTTATAATTATAATTTTGATTTTGATTTTATGCCCCTATTTATGTGGGTGTGCCTTCAAGTCAGTGTTGACTCTGGGTGACTTCCTGGATTAGTTTCTGAAGTTTTTGTGGCAAGATTTTTGGAAGTGGTTTGCCCTTGCCTCCTCCTTCCCAGGGCTGAGAGAGAGGGACTGGCCCAAGGTCACCCAGCTGGCTTCATGCTCAAGGCAGGGTTAGAACTCACAGTCTCCCAGTTTCTAGCCCAGTGCCTTAACCACTACACCAAACTGGCTCTAACATACATACACACACACACATACATATATGTATATAGTTTTTACTCATTTTTATTTCCATGCATATGTTTTACCCTTCTGCTGTTTTTTTAGTCTTTTAAATAGTTCTGCAATCTACTCAGTGAACTCTGATTATTGGGCAGATTAAGGACAGTATGTTATAGAGCGTGATTGCCTTCTATGCCATCGAGAAGGACAATCATGTTGGAAGGACGACCATGCCTCTTTGTATTTCACTACAGTATCCCTGCAGCTTACGTGGAATGCCAGGAGAAGGAAAACTCTCTTCTAGGGAACTGCTCCTACTCTTGGGTCGAAACTGCTCTTCATCACTGGATCCAGTCACTGTAGTCTCCGAGAGAGACAACTGGCTTGTCCCATCTTGTAAGAAGTATTGTGAAAGCTCCATTTCAGAATTGATGGACCCCTGCTGATATAAATACAGAAAGAGAAAATAGGATGTTGTAGCAATAAAGCCCCAAGACCTAAAGATCATCCATACTAAAGTTCTTGCTATCTTTCCTACTGTTTCTCTTGCTCAAATGGGGATGTGGTTCATTCCTTTAGATCAGTGTTTCTCAACCTTGGGGATTTTAAGAAGTGTGGACTTCAACTCCCAGAATTCCCCAGCCAGCATGGCTGGCTGGGGAA